TTTTGAGACAGAGTCTCACTCTGTAGCACATGCTGGAGTGCAGTGGCGTGATCTTGGCTCACTGAACCCTCTGCCTCCCGAGTTCAAGCCATTCTCCTGCCTCAGCATCCCAAGTAGCTGGGATTACAGGTGCACATCACCACGCTCAGCTAATTTGTTTGTATTTTTTTTAGTAGATACGGGGTTTCCTCATGTTGGCCAGGCATGATCCACCCATCTTGGCCTCCCGGAGTGCTGAGATTATAGGCATGAGCCACCGTGCCAAACCTGCATCATTTTTGGAGACAGATTGTCACTTTGTCACCCAGGCTGGAGTGCAGAGGTATGATCTCAGCTGACTGCAACCTCTACCTCCTGGGTTCAAGCCATTCTTTTGCCTCAGCCTTCCGAGTAGCCGGGATTACAGGCATCCGCCACCACACCCGATTAATTTTTGTGTTTTTTGATAGAGCCAGGGTTTCCCCCCATTGGCCAGGCTGATGCACCTTTTTAACATGGATTTTGAAGAGCTACGTGTATGGAGACTATTCAGTCTGTTGATACTGTGTTTTTGTATGGAAGTCGCAAATTGTTACAGAGTCCATCCTGTCCTTATTTATATTTTATGTTTTTCATCTTAGTCTTTTGAGAAGGGCTTCCCCCCTAATATTTTTATCACTTGTCCCTTTTGTGTGGGCAGAGAGGATCTCAAGGCCGTGGGGTGAGGGCCTTGCAGGAAGGCGTGATGGAGTGCAAAACACAGGGCGAGAGGGAGTTGAAGGCTGGTTAGGCAGGGGCAGGACTCATGTGACTTGAGAGACTTGGGAGGAATGAGAAGAAGGAGCTGAGCTCTGGGCCGCCCCAGCAAGTGGGGAAGACCACAGCTCTGCATGGTTCACCACAGCCGTCTCTAGAAAACCTGCACAGAAATGCTGGCAGGCAGAAACAGTCTACGGCTGGGGGCTCTGACTCACTGTTTCCTCAAGTGAGATTGCTGGGGATGTTAATGTATACTGAGCAGAAGAGGAGGGCTTTTGATGGGAGCAGTCTGAGCAGTGCTGTGCTGCTCAGCTCCAAGCAGCAAGGAGGTACGTGCCTGGCTGTGCAAGGAGCTTCCTGGGATCGTATGTGCTAGGGCCCCCATGAAGGGCTGCTGTGGCCGCTCCATGGGCTTGGCCAGGAGCGCTTTCTCTGCAGAGCTCAGTTGAGAGGTACTGTCTGCAGGTGTGTGTGTGTGTTTCAGCTCCCTTGGTGACTCCCAGAAGGCCCCTCTGCCCAAGCTGTTCTTAGAGGGCCTTGGGGTCAGTCTGGGTACCTTAGCCTGGTGCTGGTGGCAAGTCAGGACACACATTCTCTTGCCTCTGCTTGCATTGTCTTCGGGATTCTCTTCCCCTTTCCTTCAGATTTCAGGCCCCTTTGGGAAGCTGATGACTGTTGAGAGCTTGCAGGATCTGTCTCGCTGCTGGGAGGTCTATCCAGCCCTTGCTCTTACAGTAGCGGTTCTCATTCTCAGTGTGTGGCCAACAAATCCCCAAAGTCACGGGTTTTTTTGTAATACTAAGATGTTTTTTGCCTTTTGCTCTCATTCTCTGTGAGTGTATGGTGGAGTTTTTCAGTGACCACATGCTGTAGAATGGAACATGTGTGCTTTTGGTCTTTTCAAGAACTTTCTAAGGTCATAAGTTTTTGGTATGAATATGT